GTGTGTGTGTGTGTGTGTGTGTGTGTGTGTGTGTGTGTGTGTGTGTGTGTGTGTGTGTGTGTGTGTGTGTGTCAGCACCACGAAATATTAATAATCAAATTTCAAAAACAGAAAAAGGAAAAGCATAAAACTAAATGACAGAACAAATTGTCCAGAGGATTCGATTGTATTTGTTTTGCTTCTACACAAACTGTAGCCAGAACACAACACAACACAAAGCAACAACAACAACAACAACAACTATCAGATTAAAAGTGTTTCAGATGAGAGAACTGTTCACTATACTGTCGGTTTTATCAGAGCTAGATCAACATTAAACAGTGATGTCAATACAGTGTCAACAAAATAATAAAATCAGTTCCAACATTTATGAGAAGCCAATGAAGAGAAGCTGAAATGGCATTAACATGTTTTCTGAATGTGTGATTGTGTGAATGTAGGTCAACACAGAGTCCTGGATTTACAAAGATTAAGCAACAGGGACACGTGTTTTCCAGAAAATCATTTAAGTGTAAATAAACAGTTTAAACAGATCAAGTTACTTCACTGGCTGATCACAATGAACTTTGTACTGTGGAATCAAAACGATTGCCACATTGACTGCAAAGTGTTTTTAGACACAATCAGACATTAAACTCTGAAGTCTTTATCCTCACCTCTTATAAAGCTGCTGTGCATGTGATTGTTAAACGTGACATCAAAACCTCCGTGGAACAAATAAAGAAGATTTAAATTTGATTAATCGTGAATATTTCTCAACTTAATTGTGATGAATTTGTCCTAAATCAAATGATGTGACGTCAGTAAAGAGGCCTCATTTAAATCTAATGAATGAATATGACAGGACAGAGTGAAATGTCCATTCATTGATTATTGTTATTGCGTAAAAGATTGTGTCTGTGGACTTTTCTGGACTTTTCTGTAAACCCTGTGCTGTGAACAGTGTGTGCCTGTGTGTTTGACCATGCGTCATGTTGTGTTCATGCTGCCTCGGTGCCTCTGGGCAGTCCCATGCTGTGACCCCCCGTGCTCCCTCACGATTGCGACTGGGGGACAAACACACAGGAATTGAGCTCAGAAAACAGAGTTGAGTCTTTGCCTCAGCCGGACTCTGCACAGCTGCACCGCTGAAATGAGACTGTCTTTAATTCTCGTGCTGCTCCAGTTGTGGGGCAACGTGGCAGTTTCTCCGTCACCCGGTAAGATGGCTTTTTTTTAAACACTGAGGTGTTGTGGTTTGAGTTTGTGTTTGGAGCTGTGAAGCGATGAGAAAGTTACTTTTATTAAAATGTTATATTAGGAAATGGTGGTGTTGCATGTTTCCACTCACATATCACTTTGTGTTTAGACAGGACTTTAAAACTGGGATTAGTAGCTCACGTTTTTTGAGAAGAAGTCTTCTTTTTCTTCTTCTTCTTCTTCACCACCTGTGTTGTCATCGTTGTTTGTCAGCATGTTCCAAGCTTCCAGATGTTCCTCACGCCCTCTTGTCCGACGATACCAGAAGAGCCGAGTACCAGCAAGGACACGTGATACATTTCATATGTGAAACTGGTTATATATCAGGTCCAACCATCAGATATATGTGCACGAACACAGGCTGGAGGATAATTCATCAGGGACGGTGTTACTGTGAGTTTGCTCAATTTATCTCCTCCTGCATTTTGTTGCAACGCACGAGATCCATAGATTTATGGGATTTTTTAGGGGGGGGGTTCAGATTTTAATGATCTGATATAAATCTGTCACTTTTAAAGAAACTTATTGAAAAAGCTGCTTCTCCAACACAACAAACCAGGAACACGGCTGCTGCACAAAAGAAATGTTTTTATCAAAAATAAAATCTATTTCAGAAACCAGCAGGTTAATGAATAATCTTTTAATCTGCTGGCTGAAACAGAGGATCGGTGGTTCGATTCCTGGTTCTTCCAACCCACATTGGGCAATATGCTGAACCCCCAATGGCTCCTGGCAGCCGACTGGAGCAATGTTGCGGAATAATTATGAGTTTCTTTATTGTGCACTTGCGGGATTAAGTTTACTGTTAAGTACGTCAATGTTTCATCATCATTTCAAGCAGTTTAATCAGTATTTCATTTATTTATTTTCATGTGTAAAACGTTGCCGTCTCCTTTCCAAAGAGTTAATTGGTTCCTGTCACTGTTTGACCTAGGACGTGAGTATGACAGGGTGTAGAGTGTTATGTACTCATGTTTTGCTGTGTCCCACTAATTACCCACGGCCCAGAGGAACTGGAGCTTGTGCGTTTCTGAACAAGAATAAAGCGGCGTCGTGTGAATACGACTTGTCCTGTTAAGTGGTCGAGACCGTTCACCTTTTTCTTCTTTCCAGTGAAGCCGTGTCAACTTCCTGATGAAACTCCCAACGGCTATTATCAGATTATCCACGGCGAGGACTTGGTTTTCGGGACAACCATCAAATATTTCTGTAATGACGGGTACGTGGATGTAGAAGGATTTATGGAAACCAGCTCCATTTTGTCAACACGGCTCAATCGGATTGATGAGGTTGTTTTCAAGTAGACACGTCTGTGTGTCTTGCAGGTATCAAATGATGAGCAAGGAAGACACGCGGACCTGTTTCCTGGACAGATGGACCAATCACGTGCCAATATGTGAACGTAAGTCCTACGTTACATCACGTAGATCGAATGATCTATGTGATGTGATGTCTTGAAAAGCAGGTAACACGGATCCAGGCCTGAAAACTTTGGAGACGTGGGTTTGAATCCTGCCGCTGACTTTCTTTCATTTCCCTCAGGGTCGGTTAGGTTTGCGTCCATCTATCTATTAATTGGCGTGTGGAGGCTTAAGTTTGATGTATCGTGCGTTTCGGTTCAGCTGTGGATTCATTCAGAACCTTTTCTAATGTGTTTTGGTTCCAACTCTACCTGCTCGGACTTTTCTGCACGTGCGCCTGCTGAGGCTCATGGGTATTGTGGTGTTTTCAACCTGTCCGCCACACACAGCGTTTACATTTCACTAAAACTAAGCTGGGAAATAATGTTAAATACCACAGAGTGCAAATAAAGTTGAACGACCTGACAGCTCCCAAAAAAGGGAAACCAAAGCATCTTCATCGCCCCCTGGTGGCTGGCTGTAGTGCAGGTCATGAATCCCGTCTCCTCTTTGTTAGTGGATGGGACACGGACCAAAAGATCAGCTATTTGATGGAACAGACTGAAATGTTACGATCGGCACATTGGCTTCATTTCTAGACAGATGAGACACGTCGTCCGTCCTGATTCACAGTCTGTGGTGCAAACTGGACGTGTCTCCACAGTAACATTGAGGATATGATTCAAAGTGAGTGTGGAACACCTCTCTCCTTCATTCTGGTTGAGAAAAGCAGTTTTTTTTTTTTCATTTCTACATCCCATCATTGCCTCTCGGAGCGTCTCCTCTGCTCGGCGACCTCACTGACTGTTTGTGTTTACGCAGCTATGAGCTGTGACCCCCCTGCGGACGGAGAGGTCACGGTCACAGGTTTACCAGACAACCAGGATCCCATACTTCCTGACCGCTTCCTCACATTCAGCTGCAACGTTCCCGGGAAACATCTGAAAGGAAGCGCGATGCTGATATGTGGGAAAGACGGACAGTGGAATCATCCGTTCCCCTATTGTGAAGGTTAAACTTTTAACACACACACACACACACACATAACATTATGCATAATACTGTATAAAATATTTATGATGCTTTTTTATTGGTGATATTAACCCAATTTTGTAAAATCTCTTATTCCTTTCAGACATCTCTTGTGAGGTCGGTGTGATGCATCCGAATATCACTCCTAATGGATTACCGTCAGGAATTGGAAATGTTATGGTTGGACATAAGTTAAACTTTGACTGTGCTGATGGATACGCTCTGGAAGGTTCTGAAGAAATTCAGTGTTTAGAGACTGGGCAGTGGAACGCCCCCTTTCCAACTTGTTCTGGTACGTCCTCTCTCACTGGAGGGTCACTGCTGAACATCTACGTGGAAACTTTACTCAATAATTCTGTAATAATTCTATACACACGGAACATTTCAATGATTTTTGACGCGTGAAAAAAATTCCCAGCCAAGTGTTAATGCGGCATTTTAACCGACTGATGAAACTTCTCTTCTTCAAATCAGAAAAATGCAGAGTCCCAGAGATCCCATACTCCATGGCCGTCAACATATATCCAGGCAGTCAACTAAGACAAGGACAAAAGTTACGTTTTTCTTGCCGCATGCGTGGTCAAATTATTCTGGGTAAATCAGAAGTTGAGTGTTTGGCAAATGGACGGTGGAGTGATCCCATTCCAACATGTGGAGGTGAGTTACTTTACTTTTGTCTGTTCTCTTTCTTATTTAGGGAAATGACGGGAATTCATCCTGAAACGATTCTGTGGTTTTTCCCGTCAAAATTAATCCACCAACCTTCATCATTACCTCCACTGAGGAGATGAGCTTTTCCTTTTATTTCCCTGGCGACTTATTTTGCAGAACTCAAAAACTAATGAACACATTTTGCATGTAACTTGGTTGAAGGATAATTTAGGTGTGGATCAGAAAAACTGGGCTGATCCAGGAATTTTCTACTTTCTATGCAGCATCTCCCACAGAATTCCCTCGAGGGCAGTAGCAAACAATAGAATCACATACGTCCGCTTGACACGGTCTGGATATGTAACGGGAAATACAGCTTTGACATGGAGAGATCAGGCCTCAGCATCTCACCATCTTTGTGCTTTTCACATTTAACGCACATGGACGTCTTTGAGAAATGACTCAGTTGTATTTAGTTTTGTACGTGATGAGTTTAATTTGCTGTAAAATGTCTTTATCAACCAAACGTGTTTTCTCTGTCACGTCCCTCACTGTCTCAGCTCCCCGGGGTTGTGAGCAACCACCGCCTCTTGAAGACGCAGTCATCAAGAATACTCTGAGGTTCAGGTACAGCCACAACGAAAAGGTTGAATACACCTGTCAGAGGTACTACACCATGCAGGGAGAACCCTTCAAAACATGCAGCAACGGTGAATGGACCGGAGACATGAGATGCCTCAGTAAGTCACAATCCGCTCCACATTTTCAACAGGTAGCGCTGGTTTTAATTTCCAGTGCAGCGTAGCAAGTCTATGGGAGAGGCAGAGAACTTAAAACACAGACAAACTTAGTCAATACATCCCACATGCAAACATAGTGTGGAAGATGGCTGCTGGAACGTTTGGTCTGAACGCAGCACCTGAAGACTGCAGGATCTGCAGCAGTGGGCTGCAGTGCCGGTATTTGTGCTGCTGGAGTGGATGTGATGCAGGCTTGCAGCAGATCTGCAGCTGGGGCTGATTGAAAAACTGCATCAGAGACAACTTTATTAATCAGAATAAAGTTAGAATATTACAGATATAAAACTGTAA